GAGTGACAAAATATTCTCTGTATCTACTGGAACCGAGCCACATAGCTTGTATTCCACTATTTGCATTCACACTTGGGCTGTGTATACATATTGCTTTGGTTTGGCTCTGTAATCATTAGTGGTCGTGGGACTAGTTTGGGCCCTACCTAAGCTAGTCGAACGTTTCGTTTGGGTCCGGAAACTTTCTTTATTTCCTTACACACATCCAAGAGTACTGACAATTTTGAATAGCCTACCTAAACTGTGTACACCCGTGGCCGGATAATTCAAGGATAGAGATTTTAAATAATAGGTCCGGTACTGTTGGGGTTCCCAGCTCGACTGATCCAATTCGGGTCCAACCATTCTCAAATTACCCATCTATCATTATTAACCAATCATGCTGTCCCATAGGAGGACTCTTCTATAAAGTAAGAAAGGGGTGGCTCCTGAGGGGTCGGATTTCGTTACATTTCCCCCCTCACCCCCAGTTCAATTCGTCCCTTGAATTGAATGAATAATTAGAAATTACAAGTGAAATCACTTAGGCCTAACCAGAAGGTCTACTATGCCCCTGGCATCATTCCGTAAAGGATTAGAAACATTACAATTAAAATCAATTAGGCCTAACCAGACGGTCTACTATGCCCCTGGCATCATTCCTTAAAGGATTAGAAACAGGACAAAACAGCTAATTAATCCGGGAAATATTCCTCGGCTACCTCTTCCACTTGACTTATGTTCCCATCGCGATACTGTGTTATCTTCCGGTTCTTTACAACCTTCGTAACTCGGTCGGCCACCCGGCGCTCGAAAACACATTCCTCTGTTGCGAGGGTTTCTCTAGCCTCATGTGATAGGAAGTTACGACGGCTTCCCCTTCGACACCCGCCGAACCTTCTTTGGAACTCCCTCCTCTTTCGCCACCTCGTCCAATAGGGACTGAGAACCTGGCGACAGTTCGATTTCCGGCAATGCGGCGCATAGGTCTATCTCCTCTTTGTTTTTCTTGTCCATCAGACCGGTCCTATCTGGTCGCCCCTTAAGTGGGCATATCCGTAATTCCGGACTTCATGCTGATCCAGTGCAGCTTGTTCCCAGAATCGGCCACCACAATAGGAACTTACGAATCATCTCGGATACTTGGTTTCTCGGTGTACTCGTAGGGCAGTGCCGGTCGGGAATTCCGCTTGCACTTTTTACACTCCCTCATGGTCCTAATATAGAAAAAGAAGACAACAATTACTAACATTGGTGCAATAGCTGTTCTCACCTCGTACTAATATCAGAGAAATCGTGCGGGACATTTTCGATGTCGCCGTCTAGGATACCGTGGCGGGTTATCAGCCTCCAGTTCCAAGGAGTCGGACTGTCTCAGTGCGTCGGGTATTTCAGGTACATTTGCCGGGCGAACCGGTGCGGGTGTCGACTCTTGGTCAAAGGCTGGTTTTGGACCTGGAGTCATAACCTCTGGTATAGCCCAAGCCTCTGGAACATCCCCTTCATAACTTTTAAGTAGGTCAAAGTAAACCACTCGGTATTTCCCTTTAGGGCTTAATCGGATCCAATAGGTTACCTCGGACAGCTTCTTGCAGACCAAATAAGGACCACGCTATCGACTCTCAAGTTTAGGGGAGACCCCTCTTCTCTTTGTCTTATCGTACATGAGTACAAAACTAACCTCGTTCAGGCAATTTCCACCCGACAGCCGGTCGTACAACCGCTTCTGTCGTCGAGAGCTCTTCTTCAGGACCTCTTCGTACTGTAGCTAGTTGAAGTGGGTTTCTGATAGCGGTTGCAAGATCCTCGTCCACCTTATGGCTTCTGCCGGTTCAATATCTAAGTCCATGGGTACCACAGCTTCTCTGCCAAACTTTATCATAAAGGGGGTTTCACCCGTGGACTCCTGTTGGGTAGTCCTGTAGACAAACGTTGCGTATGGCAAAACCTCGTTCCATCCACTCTGGTCGGAATGCGGCTGTATCATGATGGCTACCATATCCACTAATGTTCGGTTGAATCGTTCAATTAGGCCGTCTGACTTCGGGTTATAAGGTGTCGTTCTGGTTTTATGGGTACCAAGCAATTTGCACACCTCCTTAATAACAGCCGACTCAAAATTCCTACCCTGATCGGAGTGTAGCTGTTTAGGTACACCAGCTACTTGGTTTGATTTGCAAAATAATTAACTTTCCTCTACACAATGGATCATTATGTGATTCATTAAAAACATCAACAGTAAGCTCTATCCAGAAGAAATAATCTCCTGATATCAACACTTTATAACATTTCAGACTCATATATTCTTTTTTTTTATCTAAAATGTGATTGAGAAAGTTGTTGCTTCATAACTGAATGAGTGCACTTTTTTTATACGAACAAGTAAATTCTGTCCCGGTTCAGTGTTCTTATTTTGTGGCCGATATCAGGCTCAAAATATCTTTATTTTATTCTTATTTTAAACACATTTTTAAAAAAATTATTAAATTGTACAGCAGTATACACTGTACTGAAATGTACGTTAAAGTAGACCCACAAAATATGGCCCCAGATAGGTACACCTACTTGACTGTATTATGTAGGGTTACATAGTCATACTGCACATAATGTACATATATAATTTTGTTGGTTTTTTTAAATATAAAAAACCTATTTGAAATTTTACCTCAGCCTCAATAGTTTATTTTTATTTGTTCTTAATTTTTAAGCAATTTCTGCTTCAGTGTTCTTGTAAAATGTGTTCTTATATTAAAAGAAAAAAGGTGTATATGATTAAAAACGTACTTTTTTGAGCCATTCAATCTGGTTATAAAAAAGATCTATAGTACTGATACTGTGCTCTACTTAAAATTCGAAACGATATTAATTTTGTGTTGTCTCTTAATAACTAGTAATGCTGTACTGCTTGTCATACTAGACCTGCTAGCAGCTTTTATAACCGTTGATCATTCGATCTTACTACAACGGCTGATTAACGAAGGTCTATGTGAAATCGTCATCCAATGGTTAAAATCCTTTTTGTCCAGCAGATATGAATGTTTGTCAATTCAAATATCAAAGTATGTTCCTAAACAATTATGTCATATTGTGCTATAAGGATCTATTCTTGGGCCTCTGTTTTTTGGGGTTTTTTTTTTTGCTTTTTTTAATTATATTGCATTCTGTTCGTAAACTTAGGCTATAAGGCATTACAATATCAAATCACTAGAACATTTCGTTGTAAATATCAAACAGTGGCTCACTCCTGATAAACTGCATCTCAATGATGCCAAGTCGGAGGTTATTCTCATCAAAACAAAATGTGATCAATCAAACTCATCCATTTTCATCTACGAAAAATTGGATGTATCCGTGAATACCTCTCTATTGAAGCATTTAAAATGATGGTTCTTTATTTTTACGACTTGACTATTTTAATGGCCTTCTCCACGGTTTGCCTAATAAACATCTTAGGATAACGAGAGCTGTAAGGATCATACATATACAAAGACACGTGAACATATAACACATCTGTTCTTTGACATCTACACTGGCTTAAGATTAGTGACCGAATATCTTTCAAGATAATTCGTCTTAAATTCTGTATGTTGTATCATTTCTATGATATGGGCCTAATATAGATATAGACTATATGTTGCATTGATTTGTTTGGTTTTTTTTTATCTTATTACGAACTCGTAGAATAACACTATTAGTGAACGCGCTTTTATATTTCGTAAATAAAAAGAGATTGATTGATTAACACATACCAGTATTGTTAATTGTGTGCTTGCTCCTTAATTATGTATAGGACACGCAATCAACATACCATACAAATTAAAACAAGCAGTTAAATAGGGTCTTTCAATATTTAATTTATTAATTTAATTTGGTGTTCAATGTGTTCCATATGTGTTTGATCCAATGACCGGAGTAGTAATGTGAATAATAATCATCATTATTATTATTATTATTATTATTATTATTATTATTATTATTATTATTATTATTATTATTATTATTATTATTATTTATATGCCCGTATGCTTACACCTGGTAATATCTTATCTTACAACGATTTTTTTTAAATTGCTGTTAACATGCGATGAAATTTGAGATACAAATGTGTTTGCATTTGTAATTAAAAAGATGATTTACACATTGCGGTTATTTTAGCAGTGGTTGACATGTTATAACATTTGTTGTCATTTAAACGTTTGCGAGTACAATATTTTTACATTTGTAGTTATTTTTACATTTTTTTTTTGGAATATCAAATTAGGTCTAATAATAAAATATGAAAACAAAAATAGTAGGCCTATTCTATAAATAAAAAATATCCATGCATTTGATATGAATCTACTGCTAATTGGCAATTTTCATTATGTGTGGACAAATTGCTGCAATGTATATAAATGCCTTTATTTGGTCACCGATACTACGATGTGACACAAACATAAACATTCACAATTTTCTTTTTTTTTCTTTGATTTTTCGATTATGTACAGTACATCGAACTTTAAATGTTCAGCTATCTTAAAAAGTTTTTTTTTCGTTTTTACAAACATACACAAACTTTTATTGAGTTATCAAAAGACGCGCGTGTGGCTTTGCAATCGTTGTGATTGGCTATATAAGGCCTAGCATAGTAAGGACTAGATGTAAAGATTAGATTTCCCCAATTTACTTAGGCATCGTTGTACCGTTCTTGCAATATAAAACATAATGATTTAAGCAGGATAAGCCGAGTTCGTAGGCATGTCATCACTCTTGATTACAATGGTTAATCATAGGCTAATAATATACGGTTCGTATCAGACAACAGAGAGCGTACAGTGCGAAAAATTTAGATTTTCGTTTACACGAATAGACACAAAATTCACGCTACGTGTAAACAACTTAAGCTGTGTTTATTCTGATCGTTTTTATGATCAGACACAAACTGTCTACGTTAACTAACAGGCGAATTAAAGTTCAGAGAAGCTATGACGTAACAGGGCTAGGGATTTTAATTTCAGATTATCTTGTTATTTTTCTTTTAGATTTGGCGGATTACGGAAACAAATGCACCATTCTTCGTTTATCAAATCAATAAGGCAATACAACAACTATATTTGGTTTCCAAGCCTCTCAACCGCCACGGCCTTTTCATATTGTCTAAAGGCCAATGATATAGTAAATCGCCAATCTCCAAAAAATCGAAATAATATAACAGTGCTAAATGGAAATCCAAATCATTTCAGAGAAATAAGCCGTTACTGGAAAAATAATTATAACATCAGCAAAACTATTTCAACAGGTCAGTGGAACAATTTGTGAAGTTACCTATTTTTATTTATTTATTTTTTTTTTAATTACATAATTTAGAAAGCTGAACAATTTCTTTTTTTATAAAGGATAATTTAAAAATTTAATGTCTTAGATAAAACACCTGCCGAAGGTTTAGTCTCACTAGACAGTAGCTATTAAAAAAGACAATTGTTTAGTAGGGTCAATTGTAATGAGAATATTCAAAATTAAAGCAGGAGAATCCAAGTGCATATTTATTATTGTATCAATAGGTTGAATACTAAAGGTAACCAATGTAGAGATAAAGCTAATCATTCTTGGCACCTAAATCACTCTATAGCTACTATCACATATTTTTAAAAAAATAGTAATAGGTGTAAGATAATAATACTAATGATGATAATGATGACGACAAGGATAACAACAATAATTATAACAATATTAATAATAATACCAATAACAATTATAAAAGCAACAAGACTTACTCTGTCTGTTTTTACAACAGAGCATAGGGCTTCTCTTCATTGTCATAGTAAGAAGTGATATTGAAATTGCAAAATACAAAGTCTAAAGTAAAAAACAAGCGAAAGCAAAAGTACTGAATACACTAAAGTTAAAATTTAGTAGTAAAAAATACACAATTAAAACGAACTTATAATAATAATAATAATAATAATAATAATAATAATAATAACAATAATTACGAATATATGACGACGACGACGGTGACCATATCTACTAGACTTACTATGTCTGTCTGAAAATTAGATTGATACTAAATATTGATGATGATGATGATGATGATGATGACAGTGGCGAGTGTGTGTGTGTGTGTGTGGAGCGTTGGTGGAGGCGTTCCTCCAAAGTTTATTCGCTCCCCTCCATGCACCACAAATAGAATTAAAAATCACCTTATTTTTGCGCGTTAGTTCCCCCTCAAATGACCATCGAGCCCACCCCTCCCACACTTCACCTTCGCACCCTCATTAGCATTCCCACTTAAATATTCCTGGATTCGCCACTGGAGGAGGATGAGGAAGATGATGAGGATAATGTTGGTGAGGATGATGATGATGACGACGAAAGATGATGAGAATGATGGTGATGATGACGATGAGGATGATGACGATGATGAGGTTGATGACCATTGCGCGCTATGTCAACCGACCCTGCGAAGGTCAGTGCATTTTTTAGTTAAACTACCTGGAGCAATATCATGGTAATTCAGTGATTGCATAATGCATTCCAAAATGTTTCATGTTAACTTCGATTTTTTTCATTCTATATGACCGTGGGAACAAACAAATATTAAGGAAGTTTAACTGGGGGTGAGGTGTACGGTGACCCCTGCTAGCCCATGGATTGACATTTAACGAAATATCAAATTTCAGAAAAATAACATATAAAATGTATTTCCCCCCCCCCAAAAAAAATGTACCTAAAACATAAAAAATATACAAATGTGTGTTTCGTATCATTGGATAGCTAATTTTGTAACCTTTCAGATGTATAAAGTACATCTACTTGATATGTTAAAGTAATTAAATGTTATAAATTTTATGTTTTATCCTATATTATGAATTCATGCAACAATTGTAATGGAATGACCTTTATTAACCTCTGAACTCTTAATCTACACTTATGTCCCATGAGATGGGCAGTTCTGATATAATACCCCAACAGAATGACCTTTCCAAAAATAGTAAATAGTTTCAGTCTACTTTTCTGTTGTCCTGTCATGGTCATTTAAATCTGGGAGAAAATAGTACAATATCTCTCATTTCAGTATTTTTAAACAAGAAGTAAAAACATCTTTAAAACATCAAATTTCAACAACAAAAATATATAAAATGTAGTGTTTTCCCCCAAATATACCAAAAACATCTATTTACAAGCACAAACAATTTTATAAGATTTCATATGACATGTGAAACATAATTGCATTAGATATATATTATATATATAGTTTTTTCATAGTAAAATTTACCTATATTGACCCCTGACCTTTTAGTCTAGAACTTAGGTCCTATCAGATGGGGAGATTCAAGGTTCCATAGGATGGCATTTTCAAATATACTAACTAAACATGTGGACATTTTGAGAAAGCAAACAGGCCTTGTTCTGGGACTATTGAAGCTATGATATTAATGCGTTTAAAAAAAATTATAGATAAATTAATTATCTTATTATTTTGATTTTATACACTATTTTACATAAATTGTCCTTGAATGACTTGTAAAGGAATACCTGTGATCATGTAAAAATATCCAAAATGGTGTTAAGACATTTTTTTAATGGTAAATAATTAAACACCAGAAGTTTAATAATTAGTGTTTTAGATGTTGAGATAGATGAGATGTTGGCCATTTTGAAATCCAATATAATCGACATAATGACTAGGATGAACTGAATCCTATGAAAAATTGACTTATATGACTACGAGAAGTATGTACAAAATAAAATGATTTTATCCAGAGTGCCCACCTCCATCTGCTACGTTGTCGGATCGTATCTTGCATGTAGCTTCTACAGATCTAAATTTGCTACTTTTTGTAAAACACACACAGTAAGTGGTTATTATATAAACAGCTGTAAATAATGCCATCAGTTTTCAAGATGCTAATAATACGAACATTTTGGTATGCAAATGCAAGCGTTCTTTTGCCGGTTGCAGCTATTCGTTAATTAGGCCTAACTTTGTATTATATTTATTTCATTTCATATCATTTCATTTATTTCATTTATTTATTTGACATAAAACCGTCCAGGGGTTGCATCAGCACAATGCGCCATAACACGAATGTGTCTGCAACCCCTGTACATACAACAGATTACATAGTTAAGATTCAGATATATACAATTTCAATAAAAAAGAATTCAAAGACCAACAAATTGAAACGTCCAGTAAAAAAAAGAAGTGGAATAAAATTAAAATGAGATTGCACAGAATCAGGGAGTTGCAATTTATACAAAACTTATCAAGTAGGTGTTTTCTTACTTAAATAAAAATAATTTAAGAGGGTGAACAACAGCATAATCTTTAATCAAAGGGGGAAGTGATTACCAAACAACAGGAAAATTATGGATTGGTGTATATTTTAAAGCATCAGTACGAGCAAAATGATGAATAAACGTGAGTGATTCGGTATGATGAGGGTTGACTTGAATGTTGTTGGAACCACTGTTACAGGAAGCAACCTTATATAAACATCGAAAAATAAACGAAATTAAAATCATTTTTTGACGTGGATTATCAATATTGTATCATGTGGTGACAATAAAAACCGACATTTTAACTGTGAATATGGTCAGCCTTTCTATGCCAAACTATGCTGTATTGAGCTGTATGCTTATGCGGAACCATGCATTGTAAAGGTGGTCACTACGGAAGAGTCTACATTTCATAATATAATATTACAGCGACAGCATACTGTCGCCGGAGTACCTGCGTGTACGCGGTAGTTGTGGTGACGCCGTCTCAACAACAGGAGTGCGCATTTTTCATGCCGCTGCTTGGTTTTTCCCATTCTTGGTCTGCCTGTTTTTGAAGGCTTAATTAATTAATTAATTAATTAATTAATTAATTAATTAATTAATTAATTAATTAATTAATTAATTAATTAATTAATTAATTAATTAATTAATTAATTAATTAATTAATTAATTAATTAATTAATTAATTAATTAATTAATTAATTAATTAATTAATTAATTAATTAATTAATTAATTAATTAATTAATTAATTAATTAATTAATTAATTAATTAATTAATTAATTAATTAATTAATTAATTAATTAATTAATTAATTAATTAATTAATTAATTAATTAATTAATTAATTAATTAATTAATTAATTAATTAATTAATTAATTAATTAATTAATTAATTAATTAATTAATTAATTAATTAATTAATTAATTAATTAATTAATTAATTAATTAATTAATTAATTAATTAATTAATTAATTAATTAATTAATTAATTAATTAATTAATTAATTAATTAATTAATTAATTAATTAATTAATTAATTAATTAATTAATTAATTAATTAATTAATTAATTAATTAATTAATTAATTAATTAATTAATTAATTAATTAATTAATTAATTAATTAATTAATTAATTAATTAATTAATTAATTAATTAATTAATTAATTAATTAATTAATTAATTAATTAATTAATTAATTAATTAATTAATTAATTAATTAATTAATTAATTAATTAATTAATTAATTAATTAATTAATTAATTAATTAATTAATTAATTAATTAATTAATTAATTAATTAATTAATTAATTAATTAATTAATTAATTAATTAATTAATTAATTAATTAATTAATTAATTAATTAATTAATTAATTAATTAATTAATTAATTAATTAATTAATTAATTAATTAATTAATTAATTAATTAATTAATTAATTAATTAATTAATTAATTAATTAATTAATTAATTAATTAATTAATTAATTAATTAATTAATTAATTAATTAATTAATTAATTAATTAATTAATTAATTAATTAATTAATTAATTAATTAATTAATTAATTAATTAATTAATTAATTAATTAATTAATTAATTAATTAATTAATTAATTAATTAATTAATTAATTAATTAATTAATTAATTAATTAATTAATTAATTAATTTGAAGTGATTTTCCTTGTCCTTAGTTTCCCACCATACACCTAGGCCTATGTTGTGTTAATCGCACTATAACTGTTGTTTTTTTGATCACTTAAGAAAAAATAAATTTATGTTTAAACATAAGCCTCCCGAAGAATGGTATTTCTTTTTTGGATATTTATTTTCGAAAGTTTCAGCCATTCCTCTCGCCTTCATCAACTTTACTGAGTGCACAACATTGGCTGTTGCATGTTGTATACTGTACAATATAAACAGTACTATTGTGAGGTAGGATTAGACCAAATAAAAGCAAATTAGACATTGTGTTGGCCACGCCCGACCAACTAAATGTACGAAATTGAGATTATTAAAAATTTTTCGCGAAAACCTTAAACTTAATATGAGTTGTATTAACCGCTTAAAAAAAAATTAAAATCACCAGGTAGAATATTTAAGGTTGATAGTGATGATGTCACACCAATGAAATTTCTCACTATTCATTAAGAGATAATCTGGTGAAATTTATCATAAAGAGGAGATAAAAATTATTAGAGTGTAATTCGTTGTTTCATTTGTATTACCCTGAGTCATATCCCAGAAGTTGTAATATGTGTAATAACCCAGTAGACACTGGGTATGTATGATATTTCGTAATCTGCATATTGCAGGGCATGATCGTATAGTTGAGTATATTAAGGATCAAACTTCAAAATGACAGATATGTTTCAGTCAAGTTTTGATGGGTTTGATGATATAACAGCTAGAAGACGAGATCTTGTCATATGTGATAGAACGCGTAGAAAGGCTTATCTTGCGAAAGTCTCTTGTACTTACGATGCTTTTATTAATACTTTCTATAACAATAAGTTTAATAAATATCAAGATTTAAATGAGATTATTAACATAGGAACAGGTTATGAATGTAAAACAAAAATGTAATAATTATTGGATCCTTAGGATCAGTACATAGGAGAGCTATTAACGACCTAAAGTTAGTTGGATTCAGAACACATAAGCTTAAGCTATGACTAGGTTCATTCATTCCATGGAGTAAGAGACCAAAAATATATTTGCTTGATTAAAAAGGACAGTGGTTTTAATGCATGAATAAGACCATTAGGAATGTCTATAATTGCCGTTATGGTAGTTAATGCATTATTAAGGATACGTATCCGCAATGTTAACAATACTTTGGTAATTTGATATGTGGAGAATACTTAATAAAATTCAACTATATATATATATATATATATATATATTATATATATATATAATAAAATACATAATAAAAATATATGTTAATAATAATAATATTAATAATAATAATAATAATAATAAAAATAATAATATATTATATAAATAATATTTTGACATACATTATGAGTAGCCTCATTGCAAGATTTTTTTTTTTCAAAATAAGGCATGAACCGCTTCGCATCTTTTAAATTACTCCAAGGTTATTTTCTTCTTATTCTATTATTTTTAATTAAAAACCCTTCCATTTTGGGTGGTTTTGTCCTTGATGGTTTATGTCCTACATTCTGGGTAGGTTTCTTCTAACAATAATGGTTAAATGCCAATTGAGTTAAGTCTTTCATGACATGTCTAGTTGAGTGCGTTTTTGTTGGCAAAAGTAATAAAGACTTGCAGTTGAGTAGTATTTTGAATGTTTAATTTCATATATTTTCTGTTATAATTTCACTCGTGATCGGCTGCTATCAGAGGTGTGATTTGTTAACCTGTTGGCCTTTCCTGTCACCGGCAACGTTTTATGTCATTGATATTTATCATATATTTAAAGTAAATAAAATAAAATAAATTAAACTCTAAATACACCATAAGGTTTATGATGTCTCCAAAAAGAGCAAAAAGCTAAAAAAGTGCATTTTTTCAGTTTTATTTTTTATTTATTTATTTATTGTTTTTATTTATTTTTTTTTTGTGACAGTACAGTATACCTAAGCGTCATACAAATTTGTAACTTAAACCTTTTTATGTAAACAATTTTAATGATATTCATTTGTTTGCGTAGAGGCAAATAGGCCAATAATAAAAAGTGAGGTTACTAAGAAATTTGAATTTATTTTTTAAACAGGTTTTTATATTACAACGTCAGCGCTTTTATATTGTGAAGAGATTCATCTATACGGATTTTGGCCATTCTATACGGACCTCAACAATCGTCCAGTTGCCTACCACTATTACGAAAACGTCAAATTGAATAGATATGTACATTCATTTGGGAAAGAATTTAAAGAATTATTACGACTACACACTGACGGTGTTTTGAAACTACATGTTGACAAATGCTCTTTATAATCAAAGTATTGTTACCTTGACCTGATCGTCAGATAGGCCCAGATTGATAAAGTAATTAAGATTAGTGTTGACTATTTTCGTGGTTTAATTTTTCTTATTTTTAGTTAGTATTATTCAAATTTAGAAAGTGATAAAGTAGTATTGAAAAAATCTCATTCAGAATCTCATTTAGTATACACTGTAGCTCAATTTCAATGTAATATAATTGACCTTTTAGCAGTTATCATTGTTTAAAGGGGGTGTCACGGTTAAAACTATCGTCTAGCGCTATAATTTGCGTAATTATAATGGAAGCAATTAAGCATGACCTTAATTAGCGTAATTATTTTGTAAGGTGTACCGCCGTATAAAAACAAATTATGCTGAGTCATGCGACACACCTCAAACGGTACGAACTGCTTACGTTCACGTAAGGGGGTGTTGTCACGACAGCCCTCAATCTAGATGTTCATTGTGAGTACAAACTCATTATTTTGTTTTATTAATAGTGAATTGCTATAATTATCATAGGCTTATCTAAATGTTAAATTTTAATTAAATGAATGGTGATTATTAGCAAATTGATATTAACTGTTATAGTGCCACCTGTCCCTGTGTCTGACCGATACCATGGGAGTTGGATAGTTATGTTATTCTAGCCTGTATGGGTTACAATAAACCGTCGGGAAGAAACATTATGTTGTGGAGGGCAAGAGAAGATGCATTTTTGATTATATTTATTAAAGGCTTTACTTTTATATTTTAAACTTGTTTCGCATCGTATTATTATTTCTGTTACCCCATTATGCCTCATCACTACAGTTCACCTTTAGTGTGACAGGCGTCATTAGATTAATTTAAGAGTAGTGTTATTTAGTAATTTTAGAAAAATGCCTTATGAAAAGTCAAAATTAGAATTATAAGTAAAGCTTGTTTTTTAGTTCATACTGATTCCCTGTTCAGTAATGAAAACTGCTATTTTTATGTTTAGAGAATAACAAGGGTGATGGAAACTACTTAAGTTAATAAAGTATTTGATAACAAAGAAATAAGTCGATGCTTTTTTTTATCCTTTATTTCTGCGTTTTATCAAAACAATTTTTAATAGCTTATTTTGAGCCAGTTACGGCTTCGAAGCTCCGCCTACCGAAGTTAACCTAAAGTTTACCTTTAACGGAAGTGACGCGCCGTTGGTACTACATTTGTTTTGACAGACTCGACGACGTATTGTATAGCATAGCGTACCGTACTGACATAAAAGACCATAGAAAGGGTCTTTTGTTAGCAAACAGTGCTTTGTTGTACGGAAGCTTAAAGTGACCTTCCAAGTCTCCCAGATAATTATCTTGGAAACATGGAATAAACACTTATTAAGACGTCTTTCCGTGATAATTTATCTTGGAAAGAAGTCTTTCCGAGATAATTGATCTTGGAAAGACGGAATTCGAAGATAAGTATCTTAGAAAGACGATTATCTCAGAAATCCGTCTTTCCGAGATAAATTATCTCGGAAAAATGTCTTAATAAGTATTTATGTTTCCAAGATAATTATCTTGGAAACTCGGAAGGTCACTTTAAGCTTCCGTACTTCAGTAGAAATACAAAGAGAAGAGCGATGGGAATTGACCTTGGGACCAAGAGATCTCCACGGTTCAGCGCACATACAATGGATACCACTTGTCTCGCCAATATACCAATGTATAAGCAATATTGTGGGTGTCGGTAGGATGTTGTTGACTGCCATCAACTGACGTTAAAGGAGCACTGTTAACTCAAAATGCATAGGCCTATTATAATATTTAAATGTAGCAAGCTTTGCATTCCTGTATTTGTATTTTTTTTTTGAGCGCAGCATGCCCAGACGAAAGCAGCAAGGTGAAACAAAATACGTTTGCAAAGCTGAATGTAGGAAGAAAGCCACCCCTGTCGAAAGCCACCCAACAATGGATTATACCATTGTAAGGTGGGGGTGCACAATGGGTTGTTTGTTTTGATGTTGGTCTACAATAGGTATGTAGTGCTAGAAGTTTTTTGTGTCAGACCTCTTTAATTCTTTTATGTATTAAGAATTACAAACTGGGTGTAGCCTACCTAGGCATAAACATGAATTAGTACTCCAAATGCAAACATCATCTTAAATTTTTATTTCCATTAATTGAAATAATTAAAAGTGAAGTAATTTCCACTGCTCTCTGATATTTTACAGTTTTAATTATCTCACTGTTCTCACTTTCTTTTATTGCAAACAACGCATAAGATTAAAGTATCACAAAATGTTTAAGGAATTAAAAAAATGTATTAATTCTTTTACCTTCCTCTTTTCTTTACAAAGAACATAAATACACTATTAAATATCACAACATATTTGATTACAAAAAATAAGTAACATTTAATAAAAACTACAATATTATTTACTTTTCTTTATCACAAATGACATTACAGTAATTAGCTATATTCAATAGGCCTACTATAAAGATATAATTTTCTCACTTTCTTTTCTTGCAAACAACATAAGATTAAATTGCCATAACATGTTTAAGGAATTTTGTCCTTTATGTATCACAAAATGACATTATCTATGAATGCATTATCTATACGCAGGCTATACGCATGTACAATACTATAAAGTTACATTTACTTAACAGAATACATAACTATTTAAAAACTTTCGAAATTTCAACTTAAGTTTTATGAACTATTATACAAAAATTTGTCAAAACGTAAGTTGAAATTATTATTATTTATATATCAGGGGTACTAAATTAAATTATTACGATATACAGTTCCCATATATACATAGTCAGAATATAAAAATTTTAAATAATTTTAGGCTACATAATTTTTCACACATTTTATTAAGTTACAGCATTACATTCCCTATTAATCTTTTGCTTGAGCCTGTTTTGGGCTATTCTTTTAGATTTCATGATTGCAAATTTTTTTATTGATATATTTAATCTATGTACCAGGGCTTCCTTGAAATCACTGAATGGATACCCCCTGGTTAAGCTTAAATAAATAATAATATGGGTTTATTCTGTAGTATTAGGCCTACAATTTGAATAAAAAAATTTTATTCATGAATAATTTTTATATCATTTTATATTAATCTGATATGGTCTTTCAGAAATACAACCATTTATTATAAATCCCATTAATGTATTGTTTGATTTAAGTTTTCGAGAAATCACTATTAATTATTAAACAAAAAAAAAGTTTGAATAAGTAGAACAGTGCCTTTGTTACATGGCCAGACAAACTGAATTTTCACAAGCTGTAGAATGAGTTACTGTAGCATGGGTTACTATTATGTTAGGAAAGTCATGGTAAAATTATGTTTGAGCGGTATTACTTTTTTGTTCCATAATTATAAACATTCACATACTGTAGTAGTTACCTACTATGTTCTGTTACTTTTGATACGTTAAAGAATAATAAAAAATGATTGTTTAAAAAAAAGGTGATAGCAAATCCCTTTATAGCACTTGTCAAGAATATACTTAGTAATGAATAGTAAATATTTATTTGTGAATAACTGTCATATAAATACTCTGGAAGTGCAAATATTCTAAATTTTTACTTTATATTAATAAATAAATGCTGAGTAAATAAAGTAAATAAATACTGTAATAAATACATAGATATTTGTCTTTGGTAATACAGAAGAAAGGAAAATAATATTTATTTATTTAGTATTTGTAATAAAATAAGAAAAGTGAGAAAGATGAAATGACACTGAAAAAAAGAGTAAATGAAATGTTGATTATAAAAAAGATTGCATAATTGAGAGAAGTTATCCAGTTTTGCATTTGGAGTACTAAATGTTTATGCCTAGGTAGGCTACACCTAGTTTGTAATTCATAATACACAAAAGAATAAAAGAGGTAAGAAAGTATAATACATACTCCAAGTATTGAAATACACGCCATCGTGTTGGGATTCAATATTTCGACATTAATTATGTCATCATCAAGAATGAAATAAAAGAGGTCTGACACAAAAAAAACTCCTAGCACTACAGCCAAATCCTATTGTAGACCAACATCAAGACAAACACACCCCATTGTGCACCACCCACCTTACAATGGAATAATTCATTGTTGGGTGGCTTTCGACAGGGGTGGCTTTCTTCCGATTTCCTGCAAAGCTATAGAGTTTGATCGATTTTTGGTTAGAAAGGAAATCATGAAAATAAGAAAGGAATCTATTAGTAATAGTGAATTATATAACTCCTACAACATTTTTACATACATCTAATGTCAATAACCGAATAATAGTTAATATTTATTTATTTTTAATCAGCCAGTATATTTATTATATGAATTATATACAAGGCAAACAAACAGTTTGAATAGAATAAACACTAATTTCTCAGGTTGGATGAACACCTGAGCGTATGTTACTAGTCATAGACAATTTCAATTTAAAGTGAGTTGCTTTCTTAATGGATGGCAATGCGAAGTTTATAAGAGCATTAAACAAAATTACTAGATTATGATTCTATTTATTAAGTTATTTTTTTATTTCTTTATGGGCACAGTGAAATTTTTCTTTTTTTTTTCAATCGATGAGGGAAGGACTGTTTTTATTTGGCAAGAATATTGCAGATATTGTAAAAAAAACTGTTTTAATTTCATTGTTTGTTTCAAATACAATGTATTTCAAGTGACAAAATTACATTGTTTTTTATGCTGTTAAAATAAATGATGCGGCAATTATATTTATTATTTTCTCATGTTTCGAAAATTGTTGACGAGCGGGACGTGACAATCCATCAATTGTTTCTATGTGCTTTAAACCAATCACGTCCAACTCTCCCACCCGTGTCCGTGTCCAAAATTCAGCAACAAATTAATTAGTGGGTGTCATGAGTCTTTTAACACCCTGAAGTTGCTTGGCGCTTGGAGTTGGCTGTGGAATGTAAGATAATTGATTAATTTATAATGAGAATCTATAAAATCATATTTACAACTTATGTGCTTTCAGAATATGTAACAAAAATTGGGGGTCACCATCCATCCTAAGGAGCTATAACTGAATAAATATAGGCATGATTTTAGCATATTTTTCACTGTATAGCGGCGCAAATCCCATGTTGGATGCGCGCAAACGACATTGCTATTGGCCATAAGATGACCGAAAAGGATGGAAATTTGTGAAAACAATGTGAGAAACCCAAAATATGTAAAAAAAAAAAAAAAAAAACGTATTTCTTAGCTTCCGTAGCGGAAAATGTAACAAAATTTTGAAATGCTTAAAATGACCTGGAACCTGCTCTAATTTAGTAAAGATGTAATTTTGAGCATTTTGATATTTAACCTTGACCTAAAGTTTATGCCTGCTGAATATGATTGTGAAATGACAATTAGTTTGGATGATATGATTCATAATGTAAAAACGCAAAATCGCGCGTAGATGACGTCACGCATGACTAAGCACATTGAAAATCTTTTTGTGACTATTCCAGGGCAAGACAAATGTTCATTGAAGCGCGCATGTGACAGAAATAGGGAGAAAGAAAGAATAAAAAAGATGAAGAAGAACCTGACAATAACAAGAGGTGATCCGCTCCACAAGAAGCGGATCACCAATGACGAAGAAGATCTCTGACAATAATAATTAGTGGTCCGCACTAGGTGCGGATCACCAAAAAAGATCTGACAATAACAAGAGATGATCCGCTCGTGAAGGGGTCACCAATGATGAAGATGATGAACCTGACAATAACAAGTGGGATCTGCTTGTGAAGCGGATTAAAAAAAAATTGACGACGAGAGTTTATGAGATATACTCCAGCGAACATATTGGCTACAATATGACTCCATATCCTAGTCCATACAACACGCTGACATATGGAGGTGCAAGTCACTTCACCCACGCTGAAACACTTTTCGCAAGTTGAACACAATTCCATTCTTTCCAACGCTCGCCGGGATTCCCTTAGACAGTACGACTCATACACCTGTCACCTTCCATGATCTGGTAATTGATTATTCATGATATTTAAATATAATGTTCCTCGTGGCTGCTAGATTTAGTTTTTACCAAG